TGTAGCCCAAAGCTGCACAATGGACTACCTATACTGTATCGAAAACCATTTTTTTAGCGTTATAAGCCGTCAGACTTTCCACTGTGCAACTGGGGGGGGGGCATAGAAGTGGAAACACCGCCGTGCAACTGGAGGGGGAGGCATAAAAACAGGAAACACAACGATTTCAAAATATATGTACATTCGAGAACAGACATACCGTATATAAAGTCAATATATATATATAAAGTCCTTGGTAAAGACCTCTTATCACTTTTTTATTCAGAAGAAAATTCCATGTAGATGAGTGAAAATTAAGAAAAATGTGGCAATAGGGGTTAGGGGCTCGGGCTATTTACGGAGGCCTGCTCCTGGAACACAAATATATATACAAAAAATGCAAGAAGCAATCGAATATTGATTTCTCGGTGCCCCAAGATGTGACCCCCACACCCAAAACATTTCATTCGGTTTCATTCTTTATGGGTGTATACACAACAAGTATGAATGCTTACCTGAAATATTATTTTCATTTTTTGATTGTAATTGGAAGGGGCCCATCGATGCGATTGGGTAACCAGTGGCTGTGCTAAGAAAGAGCCTAGGCACCACCTCGAGTGGGCCTAAACAGCCAAATAAGCGCTTGTGTTACTATGTAATAAAACGCCCTGCCTATAAAGTTGTTGTTGTTGCGTTCGAACAATTCTCAAGAAATGTACCATACCCATCTACACTTTCTCAAATATTATCAATCTAATCCAAACATTGTCTTCTATTACTTTTTTATGGCTCAGCGGTAAGTATAACGCTCAAAATCGGGTTTCGATGTTCGCGGTGGATAGAGCCAGACCAGTCCATTGGGTAGCATTGTGTTTGACAATAGACAAATAAAATCATTTTTAAATCTTTAATTGAAATTTTTGAATTGAAAAAAAAAATCTAAAATTTTTTTAAACACAATCGTAGTATAATGTATAATTACTAGTATCTTCTTTTAACGTTGTCTGTAGCTGCACCTTTGGTATTTCTTATTTACACAGTATGACGACCATGACTTTGACCTTGGACCTTGATAAGTCGTTGGTGGCTGCACCTTTATTGTTTCTTACTCACGCAGCATTGTGGCCATGAATTTTACATTAATAAATTGCCCGTAACTGTATTATTTCACATTTGACCTTGATAAGCTTTTTGGTAACAACGCTCTTATTACCACATTATACATACAGAGGATTGTGACTTTGGCCTTATTTGTTTGTTTGTTTTTTGTTCTAGATTTCGACACTAGGATAATAACTACTTCTAGGCCGAAAACAAAATAAAATAGCTCTCCTCCAGTAGTGTTTAAATGGTCTAAGTAAGGAGTACATGAGCAGGTAATTATATTGATAATCTTATTATCCATTCCCTCATCGAAGAGTAGGTCTAGGTCGTAGCAACTAAATAGAGGACTTAGATTCACTACATCACAGTTCTAGACTCATCGAAGAGTAGGTCTAGGTCGTAGCAACTAAATAGAGGACTTAGATTCACTACATCACAGTTCTAGACTCATCGAAGAGAAGGTCTAGACCGTAGCAACTAAATATAAAACCTAGATTCACTACATCACAGTTCTAGCCCCCTCCCAAACAAAAAAATGGCTTAAAAATTAACAGTCCTTTCATTTTTCAGTATAGAAATTGTTATAGAATTACTAATTATATTTATGAATTTTTCAATTTTTAATTTTAAACAATAATTGTCAGCAGCAAAATTACGATCACATAATACAAGATCCCATCATTGAAAATTATAGTAAGTATTATTTGAAATTGTTGCAGTTTAATTCCCCACAGCTGAAGGGATACGTCTCCCCCACCCCGTACACGGTCCCGACGCTAACTACAAACTATATAAGTATTGGACCTCTTCCTCAGCACTTACCCGAAACTTACAGAGTCTGACACAAGTTTCTCCTGCGCCCTCGTCACAGACAAGATCCGGGACGATGTGCTCTTTGCTTCGTATGAAGTTCGTGCTTTCCAACTCTACTTTGTTACTTGCATAAATGCTACACACACATTTATGTGGTGCTGTTTCGCCCCTGCAAATGGACGAAAATAATAAGAGAATGAAACTACAACGCAAATGTTATAAACATAATTTTTTCAAGATAAGACTATTTACATATGAACTTGCACGTCTCTGACATGATTCTTAACATAAATAATGAGTAATTCATGAGAAACTACAAAAAAACGTATGTAGCAATGGGAGCTGTGATTTTCCTATTGATAATTGTTTCTTGACTGTTCTTATATTGAGTAAAGCTGAAGAGAACGATACCTGTATTATATATATTTAATAGTTATCAGTTCTGTGAGTGAACGTTCACAAGAAATCGTACTGATTGATCTAATATATATATATATATATATATATAGTAC